TTAGGTGTTTTTTTACTGCCAGCAGATTCTTCACCCTTTTCTTGCACCTTCGAAGTCACCTTACTTTGGCCAGTAGGCTTTGAACTTTCTCCTTTTGTATATCCTTCTTTTGAACCAGATCAATAACTCTTTTCAAACTTCTGTTGTTTTTCAACTTTGAATGACAGCTTGCTCACATCATTTAAAGACCAATATGGCTGCAGTTGAACAACTTTAGCAATCTCATATTTCAGACCTCCTAAGTATCTTGCAATTATTTGCTCTTCCGGTTCCACAAGCTCTCCTTTTAACATTAGATTATCGAATTCTGCAGTGTACTCCTCCACACTAAGATCTCTTTGCTTGAAATCATGGATTTTAAGAAAGATCTCTTGCCTATAATTGTGAGGTAAATATTTCCTTTTTAGCTCCCTTTTCATTTTTTCCCATGTCATAATTTTACTCTTCCCCTTACGTTCTCTATGGTTTTTCAGATTTTCCCACCAAAAAGATGCATTCCGTTTAAGTTTGAGTGTCACAAGTTTGACCTTCTTTTGTTCTGGTGGTTCATAAAAATCAAAAATTCTTTCTACTGTATTAAGTCAATCAATAAAGTCATCAACATTTATTTTACCTTCAAATTCTGGAATCTCTAATCTTATGTTATATTTATTCTGTCACTCGTCTTGGACTCCATGTCTTGTATGAAATCTTCTCGACTCCCTTGGATGAGAAGGTGTATCATCATAAGAAGTAAATTCATGAACATCATTTTCATGCTGGTTGTGTCTACTTCGAAGTTCTTTAATTATTTCATTTTTTTCTTACAGACTACGTAGCAATCTTCGTAGCTGCAGCCTCAACGATTTAACATCATCTTCATGGTCACTACTTTCACTAACAATATCTTTTCCATTCCGCCTTTCCATGATCTATAGCCTTTAGCTCTGATACCAAACTGATACCGGGGAGGGTAAAATGCAGAATGGATTTCGAAAGAAAACCGATAGAACAGTTTTTCAGATAGAAAATGTCACAGTAGACAAGGAACGAACTCTTGAAGAAAAGTCGCAGTACAATTGTATTTGCTGGAATGAGTGTTTTGAATAGAAAAGACACGGACTCACGATAAAACTTAAATAAGATAGAAAAATAGTTCACCACCAAGTTAAAATCACAAAGGGATACAGAAATTCACCACCTCAAGGATTATAAACGAGGATACAAAACAGAAATCAAAAGACTCACCACTCAAGGACGCATCCAAGAGATACAGAGTTTAAGGGAGTTCTCCAAGAGAGCTTCTGCCAAGATATCATTAGTTTATAAAGTTCTTTCTAAGTCCTAAACACCAAAATAAGTACTATTGCATGAAACAACCCTTCATGCATAGGGAATTTCGAAATTAAGTGTTCACTTGGTCATGAAGAAAAGCACCTTAAAAACAACTTTAACTTTGTGCAGGGAATATGCTGATGAGCTATCATATTTGAGTGGGCTGAGTTGAAGATTATGAGGCATCATTGTTTGGTGAAAAAAATATCAAATCATAATTAAGGTTCATATGATCAGATTGTAGTAAATTAGACACTCCTGTGTTATTGTTATTGATAGATTTTCAAAAATATATCACTTTGTTCCCTGCAATAAATCGAATGATGCATCTCATATTGCTAATATGTATTTTAAGGAGATTGTTAAATTGCATGGTATTCCAAGAACTATAGTGTCTGATCGAGATTCAAAATTTCTTAGTCATTTTTGGAGGACTCTTTGGAGGAAGCTGGGTACTTTTTTGAATTTCAGCAACTCGCATCATCCACAAACCGATGGGCAAACGGAGGTAATGAATAAAAGCTTGGGAAATTTGCTTAGAAGCTATGTTGGCAAGAATATTAAACAGTGGGATCTCATTTTTCCACAAATTGAGTTTGTCTATAATCGTTCTATCCATCATAGTATCGGTAAGAATCCTTTTGAGGTTGTTTATGGTGCTAATCCTACTAGTCCTTTGGACTGCGTCCCTCATTCGACAACTAAGCAATTTAGTGGAGATGCTGATGAGAGAGCAAAGCAGATAAAGAAGCTACATAAGGGTGTTAAAGCAAACATAGAAAAGCAAAATGAGAGGTACATAGAAGCTGCCAACAAACACAAAAAACATATGGAGTTTAATGATGGTGATTTGGTCTGGATTCATCTAAGAAATGAGAGGTTTCCACCGGGCAAATTTGAAAAATTAAAACCAAAAGCTGATGGTCCATTCAAGGTGCTTAAGAAAATTGACAAAAACGCATATAAGATCGAGCTACCTGAAGATTACGGAGTGTCCCCAACATTTAATATTACTGATTTAAGTCC